TCGAATTTTTGAATAGCTCAATAGAATTGCAAATCGAAAGATCTTTCGGGTGCCTGTCCGCTTCCCCAAAAATTTCCCAAGTTGTTCGTTCTACTGTACAGGGTGTCCCAAAATAGCGCGGACACTTTCTAAGTGATTTTTCTCTAGATTTTCTAGTTACTTGGCCCCTAGAGAAATTTTCCCTACTTTTTGAATTTTTTTGAAAACAATGCCGCTGAAAAAACTTGGAGAAGAAGCCCTAGGCTTTTGTAGGAATGCCAAGAAAGTTACCGAAGCTTCCGACCTCTTGCAAACTGCCTTGCTCGACAATCACTTACGGGGCTCAAACAGGCCAGAATCAAACCTGCCACTGTTTTTATTCGACTTATCCGGGAGTACGTTTCGTTAGTTACTAGCTAACCTGATTCGCTGGCTCAAGCAAGAACCAAACCCAATTCCAAAAAAAGTGGAACGGAAAAAGCACGTTTTGCTTACCGAAGCTCTTTGGAAAATTTGTTGGCCCAAATGGTGCGCTTTTCTAGTCGAAAACCAAGACCAATGTGCTAATTAGCGGGGCCCGCTAACCCCGTTGCCGATACGAATCATATCATATGCCCCAAACCCGGTTTTCCGTAAGAACTGCTCCCTGAAAAACGTTTTGGTCCGGGTTTTTTGGACACCCTGTAACATCCACCGGCAGCGAAACACTGGAAAATATCGGTTTGTGGTAATTTAAAATGAACTTTTCCAATTTCAAGGCGATTTTGCCGATTTTAGCTCTCAGAAATTTTTATGCTTGTCATCTGAAAAATCAAGATGGTGGGGAACGTAAACCAATAAATTAGCCACAATATGTCGCAGTATTTGTCCGGAACGCCGTTCAAAACCACTTTCAAGTGATTGATAAGTCAATTAAAATTTGTCCGGACTTCCGTTGGCTAAATTCCCCAATTTTTGGGTATTCGCTAAGTAATAGTTTGTTATTTTTTCATTTTCATCGTTGACATAAGGTGCGAGCTTTTTGCGAAGCCATCCAATGGGAAAATGTGTAACTAGTATATCGATCGACTCGAGCGCTTGAGGCAATATTTATTCGGCACAGAATATGAATTGTTGAAACTCGACATTAGTTTGAGCTTCCCAGATCATAGCGGAGTCGGGTCGACGCATGCTGATGGACCAGCAGTGCGGAGAAAACCTAACAATCATCACCTTGCCATCGTTCCGGCGGACGCGATAATAAGTGTTGTCCCTATTCGCCACGTAGAGTTTCGGATGTCGCGTAAAGAAGACCGGGTGGATGGGGTTCAATTCCGTTTTGAAATTTGTAAGCTGTATAACGGGGCTAATCTGCCGTTCGCCACCGAGCCATTCTCGGATCAACACTTCAGCATTGGCCGCCATGGATTCGCCGGAGTCCATCGGCGCATCAAGGGTCATGTCAGGCACCTTCAGATGAATGTATGCCGATAGGGGGGCACAGAGTGTGGCCCACACACTATCGGTCGACGCATTCAGAAAATCGAGAATTTCTCGGGATGGTGGAAATTGCCAATGTGCCCGGACAGATGCATATTTCCCCAACGGCTTATGACGTTTGAGATACGGCAATAAGTCGTAAGATTCGAATCTGTTCATCATCAGACGCAGCCTTCGGCATCGAATATTGATTTCTTCATGAGGGATGATGTCGGGGTCGAACAGGTTAACAGTCGAATTATGGAAAAGCAACTGCATGGCTTTGTAGTTACTGGGCAGATTTTCTTGAAACTCCCTGATAATGTCGCATTCCCACCGTTTGTTGGGGCATCTCTTAGCCAGCTGTAGCATCGATTTGCTTGAAATGGCTGTTTTGAAGAAGCTTTGCAAATCCATGTAGCGGAGGATCTCGAATTGATTTTCGAGCGGGAGCGCGCCGAAGTCAAATGACATCTGAAAATGGGGGAGGTGGTTTTGGACGTAAATAGAACAAAAACGGAGATCTGGAATAATTCAGTCGTAGCGGTAGAGCATTCTGTACCGCTACCACTGAAAGCTAGGGCGTTAAATATCGAGAGAGGGAGAGAGAGCGAGAGAGAGAGAGAGAGAGAGAGAGAGAGAGAGATAGAGCGAGAGAGGGACCGGATGGCATTCATAGGGTAACGGGGGGCATTCATTATTATTAAATTTGCAGTTACTGTAGGATTTCGCAAGTGCCATTCGATAGAGCGCCAAAAAATATACTAACAAACTGAATTTCTGCCCGAACTAATGTACTTGAACTTTTTTATCGAATAGACAAAAATCTATCAAAATCCATGAGCAGCACATAGGGTAACTGTCTGAACAATTTCGATATTTTGAACCCGCCATTCGATAGAGGCCAAGGATATACAGGGTGTCCCATAAAAAAAGCACCCCTCCCGCATTTTTCCATATTATATCCGATCGGTCCCAAAATTTCGCCCAGAGGTGTATTGGACCCGAAATAACCACAATCCTAAGTTATGGCCCGCCAGCTACAGTCATTTTCGAGATACAGCAAAAATAAACTTTCTTCTCCGTTTTTCTTAAGGTTTTGGTCAGAATCGGCCCTTCGAATATTAAGTTAAAATGAAGCGGCAAGCCTTCTTTACCCCGAAGAATTTATTCCTGATAGAAATTAATCAAATAGCCGTTATTTTCAACAATTTTTAACCTAAAGTCACCCCCGATATTAAGCGAAATTAGGTATTCTCAGCCGGAAGTCGATGCAAATCGATGCAAAGTCAAAAAAGATAGCCGAAAAAACTGTTAAGAATCGCGTAAAAAATAGTATTTTGGCGATTACTTGAAAACTACTGTAGCGATCGGGCTATAACTCAGGATTGTGGTTATCTGGGTTCCGATACACCCTTGTGGAAAATATGGGACCGACCGGATGTAATACGGCAAAATGCCGGAGGGGTGATTTTTTTGGGACACCTTGTACTAAGAGATTTTTTACAACGCGGAAAATCTATTATTAAAATTTAACCTAAAACCTATCTTTGAAAACTATGGGCAGCACATAGGATAACGGGGGGATGGGAAACGAACATTCTCAATATTTTGAAAATGCCATTCGATAGAGGCCAAAAATATACTAACAAGGAGACGTTTTTTAGTGTGAATGGAGTTTTAAGTTGAAACCAGGCCTATTCTGTGCAGAATTTTGCGCTGATTCCGATACTGTTTTCCAATTTTGCTAAATAGCTCGATTTAAAAAGTTACAGCTATTTTAAGATAAATTTTAGCCCCAGAGTAGCCATATGCTATGCTGTGCTACTTTTTTGTTATAATGTTCTAATTTATTTTAAGTAGCCTATCTTGTAGAAAATTTTTTTCTGGTTCGATTGGTATATTTGATTAGTGCGCTACTGCCGATCGTCGATGGCTTACAGGGGTGGGAAGTAGGCTGTTTTTCACCATTTCCCATACAAAAATCGCAGCCCATACCAAGTATCGTCGATTTTTTCGATTTTCAACAATTTTTTGTTAAATAGCTCATTTGATAGAGAAAATTGTTCTGAATACGGTGACGATATTTATTTTTGGAAAAACAGCCGGAAAAAGCAACATAATGGTCCCTAAAGAGGGGAAAATTTGGGCTAAAATGATCTTAAAATTGCTGTAACTTTTGAAATCGAGCTATTTAGCAGAAATGGAAAACATATTCGGAATCAGCGCAAAATTCTGCACAGAATAGGCCTGGTTTCCACCCAGAACTCCATTCACACCAAAAAACGTCTCCTTGTAAGAGCAATGGCAAATGGCATTGAAAAGCGCAGCTAACGTCAAAAGTGGAACTATAGGAGGGGGAGCCAATAAAGACTAGGAACTAAATAAGGAACCGAATCTAAGGAGTGTCTGAATGAATCTCTTCAGAATCATCAGATGAATCCGAATCCTTATCTTGTAGTCCGTAGTAGACATGTGCTGAAATTGCATCTGCGTTCGGGTGACACTAGTAGCGCGATAGGCCACTTGATCACTCGAAGATGAAAAATGCTTCTCAATGCCCCCTTCAGGTCCTTTCGAAATAGTAAAATCACGGCTCTCCGAATGAAAATTTTTACAATGCCATCAGCCTACACTGTATCCGGTGAATCCTGTTCCGCTTCTCTGCGGGACCTAAAGTGTGAAATCGCGACCAGAAACAAAATTTGTGGAACAGCAACGAAAAAGCAAGCGTCTTGAGGAGTTTTTCTGCTATTTATCCGTTTTAATTTAATTACAGGATTTTAAAGACATGTGCTAGGAAAGACCATTCTACCTACCTAACCGTTCAAAGGCGCAGATCGTAGCACAAAGGTTTGTTTTCGCCGTTAACCTACGATTATCCCCGGATTCAGGTATCCAACCGAACCGGAAACCGTACTTTACGAGCTTCAAGAGCTACACGTCGTCGGCCCTGTCCAGCATTGTGTTTTCGGCTTGAAAGTACGGTGTGTTTTTTGGAAATCGAGGTTGTGGCGGCAGATTTCCGGTCGCGGATTTGAGAAAATCGATCCGAATTTTCCTGCTGATTACGTTTATCCCAAATGACGATCCGTAGCTCAAAATATCGCTATTTTTCGTGTAATTCTTACCTTTGTGTTCTCCGCTTCTTACTGCCTTTTTCGGCTACGGTTTACTTTACCCCCCCCCCCAGCCGGAAGTTTTTTGCTATAACTTTTTTATTTGGGAAAATTGCTGTATCCGGTCACTAAACGGATTTTGGATTTTTATATGTCAAAATGCTCAGCAGGTCGAGCTGGTTCAGGATCAGTTGAAAAAACTTGGCGGCAACGCTTCTATCTCGAGATATGACACTTCAAAGTTGGCTACTGAAGTATCCGGATACCGCAATTTAGCCAAAATCCCGACAAAATAAGCGAAAATACCGACAACTTTGCGACCCTTCGGCCGTGGGGGGGGGGGGGGGGGTAAAGTAAACTCTTCCCCATTTTTCGTCGTTAAATACCAAGAAATTCGGTTTATTCAACACACATATTCGAATTGCATTACACACAAAACGATTAACGAAACCGGGGAAGACTAAGAGAGGGGTTTTCTGGCTGTAGTAGGCGTGGCGAGGGAGCGCGGATTCGGCCGTCGAAGAGCGGGCAGGCTGGGGATTTCCTGAAAATTGGCGTATTCCAGAATTCAAGACAGAAAAAGCAATTATACAGTAAATAAAAAAAATAAAAACACAAAAGTTACCGTAAAAACTCGATAATCCGGGGATGCGGTACGAGAAGTGCTACAGCCGGGCTTTGCGGTACGGCGTGGCCACTTGCTGGATGTCCATCGGCGCGTTCGGAGGGCTGCGCTGGAAAAAGGAGGATAAATTAGGTGCAGAGAAATTACGGTAAATAATCGTACTGAAATAATCTTTTTAAAGGGGCTGTCAAGGCGTGTTTATAAATCTTGGGGAATGGATTGAGTCTGAATTTAGCTGCCTCCGCATCACGCAATGCGGGCACTCGCGCTGCGCTTCGTGGCCGATAAAATTCCATAAATCTAGTTTTGACTCTCTGATGAATGTTTCAATCCCTGCGATACGCAACGCGTCAGTCGCTGAGCCGCGGTCAAACGCAATCCGATGCGCAAAATGGAGTCGCCGAGCCGAGGCCTCGAACCAAGAAGCGGTAGAATCCAAACGAATGCCTAGCCAACAAAATCCATAGCCGTTCCTTGCCCGGTCTTTTAAAGGCCGGAATTCTTGCTTAGGAAGGCAGCGTACGGTAGATAGTATAGTAATTTAGAGTACGAACCGCTTGGCTGTCCTCGCCGGGGGCCAGGTACTGGATGGTGTGGGTGCGGGCACGGCACATGAATCGGACAAAAGCTGGAAAATTTCGTTAGTTTTTTAATTAGCAAGTCACTTGTTATTCTCCTTAAAATCACAAAAGTTCCACATGTGAAATTTCACGCTACCGACTGCCTTTAAAATCGGAATCCGAAACTTTACAAACCCGAGAATTGACGGAACGGCGGCGCGAGCCGCACCACGTCAATCTCCGGCGTGTTGCAGTACTAAAAAATTTATTGATTGCAGGTTATACAACAAAGCAAAACAAAATCCCAAACGAATTTTCCGGAAGAAAATTACCGCATTGATGCGGACAAACTCGGCGCGGTGGGGCCCGAGGTAGTCGGGCGAGGCGGACGCCTGCTGCGGCACATCCAGGTTGTCGGCTTTCCTTTCTGAAATTCTATGTATCACTAATCTCTTTCTCTCTCTCTCTCTCTCTCTCTCTCTCTCTCTCATTCTCTCTCCCTCTCTAAAAACTACCGAGAGACATCGGCTCCTCCTCTTCCTCCTCGAAATACCCGCTGACGGCCGTCTCGCATTCCAGCTGCTGCTGCAGTGGCGGCGCGTCGCCCATACTCGACGGCGTCATGCACATCATTCTGAAGAACAACAAGCAGAAATTTAGAATCACGCGATTTGCGTACTCACCCAGCATACGAATAGGCGCCCTCGTACATCATCTTGCGGGGGAGGTTTTGGAGGAATGACAGAATTTCCAAGAGAATTTTTCTTAGCTATCGAATCTAATGGATTTATGTTAATTAGATGTAAAGCGGCTTCCGGTCTAGCATACCTCAATTTTCCGCATGTTTGAACATCGGCTTTAAATCATCGGTCGTTGGAGCCTTCAGGATATCTTTCTTTAGTTCTCTGTTTCGCTCTACAGCTGGCTCCTTTCCCTCTTTCTCTCTCTACCTCTCTCTCTCGCTCTCTCTCTCGCTCTCTCTTTCTCTCTCTCTCTCTCGCTAGCTCTTTCTCATTTGCAACTCGCTTATGCTAATTTCAAACAGGACCAATTTATTGTTGCTATAGAATGGATTTATTGCCGGAAAGGTTGTGGTGGTCGATTGGTGTCGCACCTCAGACGAAGTGGCGTCTAGTGGCTAAAAATGGAGCTTATGTAGGTACGGTACGTTATCGCACTCACCGTCCATGGCGACGGTCGTGTCCGTGTCCGTGTCCGTGGGAGTGAGAGCCCGACGAGGAGGACGAGGACGAGGAGGAGTCCTGAAAAGACGAAAATCTGCGATTTTCAAGTTTCGGTGGCCGAAGCTCTAGGTGTGGTCATCCCTTTAAAACACAATCAATCAAAGCCTACCCCAGACGAAGAAGACGACGATCCCCAAGAGCCGGAGGAGGAGGAGCGGGACCACGAGGAAGAGTCGGAGTCCGAGCTGGAGCCAGAGCCGGAAGAGGAGGACGAGCTCCTGCAGTGACGTCCGCGGCATCCGTGACGGCGGTGATGGCGGCGGTGGTGGCGGCGCCAGGCGGGCCACAGCTGTAAGAAGATAATTTTGGAGTATGAGGCTGAGCTTACGAATTCGTGCTCCGGGGGCAGCTGGAAGACGGGTACGTCGGCCTGCAACATTTGGGGTTTATTCTAGCTTTGCTTATTGCCAAAAATGATTTTTGGTTTTTAAAGGGACTAGGAAGTGTCCGAATTCGACGCCTTGAGGCCGCTAGGTCTCGACTAGGTATCTTGCGACTTGCCAATGACTGAGCCGACTAGCTTTTCGTCTTAATACTCGCTTTAAAGGGACCTTGAAGAGGAAAATCTACCCCCAACTAAGAGCTAGATCTAGACTAGGCAATTATATAGGCATATTTTTGCCTTCTATGTCGTTTTAGAAACTCTAGCCTTTGCAAAATCAGATCCCGTTGTAAACCAGATCTAGAAAGCTACGCCCCGTTCCAAATGACAATTTCTAGTGTCTTAACGTCATTTTCAGGCGGAATTTTGAGCTGCTCGTACCTGTCGAGACCTAGTCGACCATAGGGGTCGATTCAAGCGCTTACTAGTCCCCTTAATACCAAAATTTGTACCGACTTACATAGCTGACTTGCGGGGGCTGGTAGGCGGGCTGGTCGAGGGCCGGGACACCGTATCCGGAAGCCGGAGGGTCTTGAGCGACCGGGGCGTCGTTTCCGTACTGGGCCACGACGGCGCACACCAACACGGCCAAGGTCACCAGGGCGAGCTTCATTTCCTGAAAAGCATTAGATTAAGCCGAAGAGAGAGAGAGAGCGAGTGAGAGGGAAAGTAGGAGAGAGAGAGCGAGAGAGAGAGAGAGAGAGAGAGAGAGAGAGAGTGAGAGGGAAAGTAGGAGAGAGAGAGCGAGTGAGAGGGAAAGTAGGAGGAGAGAGAGAGAGCGGGAGGTAGAGAGAGCTAGAGTGACAGAGCGAATTTTCAAGCTCAGAATTCTGGAGCCAAAGTTCTTCCGAAGGCTTGAAGCCCCGAAAGCTGATGACAGATGGTATGTTGTGGTTCCATCGCCGTCCATGCCCCTTTTATATGCCCTTCCCTGGATGGTAGACAAAATGTGGGGGCGAGATTCGATTAGGCAGACAAAATAGACAGAATATCCTGTGCCCCCTGCGTCTTGCACGATGTATCATCAGGTAGGAGGGATGGATGGATGAACGGATTCTGTCCTGCAAAGGATAGGAAGCAAAGATTATGGAGTTAGAGCTTCTTCGGATGGTGCTACCTCAAGACAAGCTCGTCTGTGACCGGGAAATCTAGTGGCCGTGGCGCCGTGGCGCGGAAAAGCAATATCAAAAATCGACCACACTCGACGACTAGGTCTTGACAATGACAGCTAGAGCTGCCAATCACAAGGCGCTCTTCGATTTGCAAAACTAGCCCGGACTCATTTGGCTTTGCCACTACGATGGATTTATCGACACCCAGTTGAAGAAAACAGCCGATTCTGAATTTTTTTGTCGTCAGAATCTTACGATTAGTGGAAGCCATTAACTATACCAAGCAAATTGTGTTTTCGAAATGTGGTTCGCAAAACACAAGGGAATTCTTTGAGAGTTAGCAGCTTAAGTAAATTTTTAATACGTTTAGTTAATAAATTGTCATCATGTTGTTCCCTAAGTTTTTAAGGTCCATGACCGCAGTCTAGGATAGTGCTACGCATTTCCCCCACTGCTGACATGCGTGGCACGCCATTTAAGCCGCCTAGCAATCCGGCCACATGCGCAATTAACCGGTAACTTCTGTAAGTTTGTATTTCACAGCGACAGGGTGATCTCTGATTTTCGATGATTTTCGAAATCTCTAAAATCCCAACTGCTCCTTCCTGCTGGCCTCAAGCATCGGAAGGCGTTTCAAAATTTCCTCCTCGCCCACAGCTTCCTTTTTTCGTCAGCATTCGCGATTTTTCCGCGATGTTTTGGCTGTTCGGATCCCCTATAAGGAGCATGTGGGCGGCCATGAACCGGCATATCCTTTAAATCGCGGAACTTTCGGCAGATTTGGAACATGACGATTTTAAATCAGATCCCAGGATCTCTCTCGCGCTCTCTCTTTTTTCTGCCTCTCTCGTTCTTGCTAGCTCTAGCTCTCGATCCCTCTCTCTCTCTCTCTCTCTCTCTCTCGCTCTATCTCCTGAATAATTTATTCATTTTCAGATGCGCGGCCTCATATTGGTGGGGCTCCTGGCCGTGATCGGCCTCGAAGCCGGCCAGAGCTACGGTGTCCAGAACGATTACCAGCCCGGCCAAGATGTCCCGACTCCCGTTCAGGCGGCTCCTTCTTATTATGTGAGTATTACGAGGTGGCGCGCAGTTGTCGCGACCTAGTCGGTTTAAGGGGTCGATTTTGGCACCTATTAGTCCCTTTAAAAGTCCCTTAAGCCGCTGTATTTCAGCCTCAACACGTCGGCTGGCAACCCATCGGCAACATCGGGCACTACCCCAGCTGGGTACGTTTTTTTGCTCTTGATGTAGCAGGACATGATTTTTTGTGTGTTTTGAGAACATGTATTTACCGGAAACTAGCGTAAACTACCTAAATATACGGATTTTCAGTTGCACTACCGCGGGTGGAACCGTGACGGCTACCGCTGGCCTCACCGCCATCACAAGAGACATCACCGTCATCATCACAAGAAGCACCACAAGAGGCACCATAAGCACCACCATGGAAAGCACCATAAGAAGGACCGGAAGGACAGGAAGGACAAGGACCACAAGAAACCCAACTGGGGACGCATTCCCGGACGTGGCAATGGACGTGGCGGCAAGCCGTAGGTTCTAAGAATTTTTTGAGTTCTTTTGCATTATCGGGGGGGGGGCGTTTATCGAGGAGAGACCAACATTTTTCTAGGATCTGACATTTAATATAGCTTTATTTGGCTAAAAACACGATTAAAATAATTCCTGTAACGTCTACTTACACCCCCCGGTAATGCGAAAGAATCGCTTTTTAGAGCGAATTTTTTCAACAGCTTTTTGATACTTTAAGATCTAGTAGTCATAAATTTATCAAAATGGCTTTTATTTATGAAAATATAGCAAAGATTTCGAATAAAACATCTATAGACTTCATTAACTAAGTATAATATCTGTTTCAGGCACGGAGGCAAACCCCACGGAGGCGGACCCCAAGGAGGCCCTGGCCCCAAGAAGGTCGCCGAGCCGGCTGCTGCTTCATAAAGCCCTCATTACTTGAAAGTTTTTTTTGATAATTTTGTATTAATAAACGACGTTCCGTTCGCATTTCATTAAAATCCCATTTTACCGGACTAGTATAATTAGGTCGTGTAATCGTGTTTGTCAGCTGCTGCCCGCAAGGCTGTGCACCTGCTCTAATTATTGGCATTAACAATTCGAGAATTCTGCGAGTGGAGCGTGATTCTGAGAGAATTAGCAGCGGAAATCGTAAACAGGCTATGCCTTCAGTAATTTAAAGGGATTTTCGATACTTTTTTCTCAATATTGCGCCTTTTTTACCGAAATGGATACGGTAGCTCTAGAATTAACTGTCAGCTTGAATCAGCATTTCTGGAAGTGTACCTTCAATGAACGTGGAATCGCCAAAACCGACCCCATAAAACCACTAGGCCTAGACAACTAGTTTCTTTAATGTCGAATTTTGCGCGATTAAATCTGCTGTATTTGCCGCGCACTAGGACACGCAACGCCTAGATGGCGCACGCGTTACGCTTTTCGGTTTGTTGCGTGCGTGGTTCATAGGGCGATACGACCTACACTTGCATCGTCGCCACACTCTTCCTTTAAATGCGAAATTGAAAGACGCTTATTTTATCTAATTTCTGTGTGTATGGTTCATAAATTTGATTGTAAATCGCGAAGAGGTTTTCTGTGAACTTCTATGATCAACAGCCAATTGTTTTTTGTGGCACGAGGCTGGCTGGCCGTCTTCCGTTCCGTCTATACACCTATCTAGAAGGTATCCAGCAGTTGGGTAATAATTGTTGGATGAGGGTCTCGTAATTGGCCATCAACCCATCTCCCGCCACAAATATAGCGATAATAAAGTGAAGGCCATATTTTGGAGGGGGTGGTTGAGGGAGGGAGGGGGCCATATATGGGTGTCAATGGGTGACGGGCTCAAGGTCTTTGAGGGTTATATCACACCAAAAAGTTGGCGAAGGGAGGGTGGAGTACACTCTTACTTTTCTACACTATCATTTTGCTACCTTGAATT